CTTTTTCTTGTGAATATCATTTAAAATTTGATCCTCACGTTTCTGTTTTATCCATTTACATGACTTATTGTTATTTTGAAATGCAGTTTTTTAGCTTTGTAATTTGACATGAATAAAGTTGTGTATGTTCGATGTAATTCAACATGAATAAAGTTGTGTGTATTCGGTTTAGAAAAATATTTTGTATTATGATAATAAAGGTCTTCGTACGTATATACATACATAATTTGGTAGTGATACTAGGTGCGTTCGGGTTATGGGAGGTCAGTTGGTGATATGAAACCAAAATATAAGTTTGTGGCATGTATGCGAATTATTTTGAAAATTTTTGCTTAACGTAAAAAAGCCATAATATTATGTAAAATATTTCGAAATATTTCGAAAATATTTTATATAATATTTTGTAATTTGATATTTCACAATATTTCAAAATTTCCTACATAATATTACGGCTTTTTTACGTTTCGTAAATTATTATGAAATATTATAGCCTTATAAATTTGCTGATGTAGTAAGCTCAGAGAATTTAGTTCATTGATCATTGGAGGTAGCTTTATAATTAAAGATTCTACAGCTAATATTAGTATGGTAGCAAGGAGGTTTGCTATAGGCATTAGGAAAGGTCCATGAGGTTAGAAGTATTAGGTGATCACTAAGAGTGCTGGTTTTGCTATTATCAAAATTGTAATCAAGAAGAAATTGTATGTTGAAAGTATTTGTCCAGATATAGTCAATTCTACTAGATTGTATTCTATTAGACCAGGTAGAATGTGTATAATTAAAGTGTGCTCCAATATCAAACATATTAGAACGGTGTAGAAAGTTAATAAGTTTGAACTTGGAGGAAAAGCTAAAAGAGGTGTTTTGTGTATTAAAATCACCCAAAATAATGGGTTGTAAGTTATGTTGTTGAGCTTGTATAATCCAGTTAATGACTATGTTTAAAGAATAAGTCTAGTGCAATAGCTCCACTAGGATATGTTAGACAGCTATGGATATGGTGCTTAAGATAGTTGCGAACTATAATAGCTGCTCCTTCTATAGAGCTGTTGGAGTTGGTCTAGTAGTAAGTAAAGAGATTATTGTTGCAAAAAGAAAGTTTGGTTTTGTTTAAGATCTTAGTTTTAGTAATACTGGCAATAGAAATGTCATGGTTAATACAATAGTCTTGCCAGATTTGCCTCTTAGAGGCAACATTAAAGCCTCTGACATTATGAGTAGCAATGGTAAGGTATAAATCACGGGGGCTGGATTGTATAAGTTAGATAGATGAGCTACTGGAGAAACAAGTAGATCTTATAAAGGATTTATAATAATAAACAGAGTACTGTTGAGAAGAGAGTGTAATATGGCCTAGTAGGATAGTGTCAGTAATATTAAGATAAATATGAGTCTCAAGTGTTATGATATTAACAGAGATTTTGTATAGTTGGAAAAAGTGATTTGTAAGGAGGTGTTGTAAGAATGATTTAAGAGTTTGGGGTGATGGAAGAAGAGAAATGTTGTATTTGTAAAGAAATTTGTTAAAGTATGTCTCCTCAATAGGATGGGGTGTATTGGTAATTGAGGAGAGAGAGATATCTTCTACAAAATCGCTCGCCGTATGCCTGGTTTTCACAGCTGTGCAAGAAACCAGAGTTTGCTTTGTACATTGAGTCTGACCGTCATTTATTGGCTCTTCCACATATCGGAGGTGGCTAATACTTTGAGGACCACCCCAACCTGGTTACCCAGGTTGTTTAACGTCCTATCCTCTGATCTTGGACATGTAAAAGACTAGTTTGTGTTTGTGTTTACGAATATTTTGGGTAAAGTATATATTACTATATACAGTTAATAATATTAGACTATATAATCCTACTATTTATATGCCTAGCCTAACCCTTATATGGATTTATCTTGTGTTTACACTAACTAAACTGGTTTGTATTCCTTTAATCCTTACTTCGAACTATTTTTCAAGAGGCCCCAACCCTTTATTCTTTATCCTTTTCTGAATTAAATACCATACTTGGGATTTGCAAGTAGTCTTTCCTAATCTGATTAGCCTTTTACAGATTTTTTTTTTTTCGTATACCTTCTATATTAGGATCTACCTCGGAGGCTTATCTTGTGTTTGCATCGGCTTTTATCGACTTGCATTCCTTCATTCAGATTCATGTAACCAAACACAAACCCAAATGAATGCTCCAACACAGATCTTGTTACACAAAGTAGTACTCCCAATCCTTGTTGGTAATCACCTGTTCCCGTTAAAGCAAATTTCAGCCACTGCAGATCAAGTTGATATATCCGGAAGGGATATACAAGAAGTAGTTTTCAAATTTTCATCGCCAGTAGGATTCGAACCCTAGACCTTGCTACTTGGGTTGACAACTCTACCACTTCGCTATGTCGCCACACCCATTATTGTATTACTTAATTCGTGATCCGCATACGAACCAGAGATATACAATAATAAAAATTGAAGATAAGATACATATATAACTTTAACCTTTTTTCGAATCTATTTATTCCCAATATATAAATTTTTATTTTTTGATATATATACGTTTTTTTTATAAAAATTAATAGAATAATTTAATAGTTTCATTTAAATATTATTAAAAAAAGCTTATTATCCTACTATAAACCTGTAATGATTATACAAGTAACCCTCAATATAAGAAGACTAGTTAAAATTCGATATAAAAAGTTAAAGTAACTAGTCTATATTAAATTCACGCATATAGGAAAGTTACTAATAAACTCTCAAGAAGTTTTGAAAATTTTTACTATTGGTTCCCGAACTTTCTTATGTTGAAGTTTACTTGTAGTATGCACGCGTCTCCTATAAGACTAGCAGTTTATATATATATAATAGTAATTTAGACCCGAAAATTAGACGTTTAAAATAAGTGCGTGGACATATTTAAAATACTGTGCAGATGCTTGTATCAGCATATATGCATTATTCTGTGGTTTTTATAGTATAAGACAATGCTATCTAAATGCGAACAATCAAAACTTTTGCAAGTTTTTTATTTATAACAAATAAGTACTAACCTGCATACTATTTCATATACTTATACGTGAAAGTATAGAATTTGTTTATACACATAAACAAATTACTGCGGGGCTTTGTTTAAAACTATTTTGAGCTCCAAAGTAACGCCCATGGCAAGATTGGCAATGGTGCCCGATAATCACACGAATGAAGCTCAAAAACTAGTATTAATAGCATCATTTAGAGCTTCATTGAGCTCCATTGCCTATTGATATTCTCGAAAATTTAGTTAGTTCAAGTATCATTTTGATGAAATAATGCCCATGAACATTACTTTGTCAAAAAGATGATAAAATTTTAAAAACTCTGAATAATATTTGATCGTTAAATAACAAGCATAGGACTTACGTATTGAAAGTAAAATTTATTGAAATTTAATAAAATAGTCCACTCCTCAAACAATTAACAAAAAGCTTTTTAAATAAAGCGACAAATTATTATAAATATATTATTTTTTTTTTTTGAACACGTCCTCATTACTTAATATTATACCAAAATACAAAGTTACGCTTATATCATGAGGTGAAGTTATACAAGATTTTATTTTGGGCCATATGCTAAAGAGTGGTGGGTTTCACGTCCAACTAATAATGATGTAGCACATACGAATCTTTATCCAGTTCATCTTGGTATGAAAACTATAACTACAATAAATCAGCGCGATTTTATAATTTAGTAATCAAGGATGGTTTTGTGCCTGGATATTTATGTCAATCCGGATCATTGCAAATTAATACGTGCAAAAGTTCATCAGAAGCCATTATCTATATATACCAACAAGCTTTTTTTACAAAAACGAGATTAGACGGTCTTTTAGTTATGGCATTACCATTACAACATTACTTCCATAATTAATTCTACAATTGGTAAAATGCCGTATTTCTATAATTTAGTAATTCTACCACAACTATATGTATAAGGGAAACAGGTATATATGATTATCATTATTATTTTTAAAGATACCTTAGATTCCTTTCCAAAAGGTGTTATATTAGTATAACCAGTATATCGTAATAAGGCTTTCCATGCACACAATTCGAAATCTCGGTATTTATAGCTTGAATTCTGGACTCGATCGGAAGATTCAGCGAAAGACCAAGCTATGTTAAAACAGTTATATGAATATGGAAATCTTCGAACTATCCCAGAAAATTATGAAGATAGCGAGGATCAATTTTGGAATGCATTTTAGGATGTATTAGAAAGTAATATTCGTGGAATTGATAGAAAAAGAAAAATATTATCAATTATTGCTAATAAACTTCCCTATAACAAAATCAAGGAAAACTTATCAGTTAGTATTTGGAAAAAAAATAATATATAAAAAAATCGAATGAAAATTTAAATAACTGAATATTTATCTTAGGTTTCAAATTATTTGATTGCTGAAGCACGTAATTATGCACGTGTTAATGGTCCGGGAGGTATCCAATTAGAAAAGCCTAAGATTACTCGAGAAAAGCTGCTATCTGAAAAAAAAGAAGAAATTGAGTTTTTTTTCAAAATAAAGCAAATGTAGTAATGAGTTCTTATAAGACAGATAGTATCACCAGATTACCTGTACAGTACTTAAAAGATAATAAAGAGGCATTGTGGGAATGATTTCATGAAGAGTACCCAGACGGCATTAAAAGAACAACGTTCTATAAATATCTGGAAGGTGGCCAATATATATATAAGGAAGACTTAGGTGGTCTGTGTTCAATCTGTAATATGTACGGATATGAAACTTTTGATGAACTTCGAAGATTAATACAATACCATGCAGACTTGGATTATCAGGTAATTACAGTATTCAAAATGTTATTTAATTAGTATAGGTGATATGGCAAAATTTTGGAGCATGCCACTAAAAAATTCACAAATTTAATGTCATGATTCGAATGCTACTCAAACTGTTATTCGAACTGCTATTCAACAACTTCGCGGACATGCACGTCCATGAAGCCATGTAATATAGGTTAAATAGTAGCTCGAATGACAGTTTGAGTGGCATTCGAATCGTGACTTGAATTGACCCAGGTTACCCGCCCGCTTATTAAACTCTTACCCGAGTAACGACCCTGGTGAAAATTTTTAAACAGGTCAATTCACTAATTGTGATATTCAAGATAATAAATTTTTTAAATTTTGCTAATGGGCCTTAATATGTATACAGTACATAAAGACATGATGGTTCCGACAAGTTATTTATTCAATATCATGTTATGTGACAATTTACTAAAAATATTGTGACTAATAATGTGCTAAATTGTTATATCGCGTGATGTTGGATAAATAAATTGTTGCCCCAGCATGCTTAAAGATCTCATTGCTAGCTACCTATATTTCGTATGTTGAATTTTTGAATTTCATTACCTTTCATATATACTAACTGATGAAATTAAATAATCATAAGGAGCAATTGCTAGTCGAATATAGTAATCTACAAAAATATTTAAAAAAAGATTATGAAAACGAGTTAAAAGTTGATTTTTTTGGTTATACAAAACACGATACCTGTATTAATCACTGTATGCTTTATGCTTTTGGAACTTGCTCAGAATCTCATGACCTAACCTGTAATCATTTGTGGAGTTTTTTTAAAATTATTTAGACAAATTCAAAAATATATACCATCTAACCTTCATATCGAATTAAAAGAGTTACAAGAATACTTACTATATTATTTGGCACACCAAACTAGGAAAGTGTATTTGAATGCACAATTATATGCCAATTTAGGTCAGCTGGATGGAACAGGTGCCGTAGTTATTGTAGACTACAAAATGAAGATTTTACCTAAAAGCATACGTGAAACAAAGCAAGATTTCTTTGGAAAAAAAGGATGGTCGCTACATTCAGTATTGGTATATACTCACCTGCCTGATAACAATAATTTGCAAGTTCGCGCTTTTGATCATTGGTCAGCAGATTCACGCCAAGATATGTGGTTTACAGCTTCTTCGTTGCATGCTGCAATAACTAACCTTGATCCTTAGCTGGAATGGGTTACTTTTTTATCAGATAATGGACCCCATTACTATAATATAGATCTAATGATAATTATGGGTCAATGGAAGGAATGGTATAATATCCACGTTAGAAACTGGACTTTTCAAGAGGCAGGAGAGGCTAAAACGACGATTGATTCTCACCATGCACAGGTTTGACTTATTAAGTTTTTCCCAAGCATATCCCTCGATATGATTTGCTAGTAATCGAGATTCTGCTCAATTATTTCGAATAATTGAAATTAATTGAAGTGATCCTTATATTAATTTACCGGAAATTCTTTGTACTCAACTCTATAAAAAAAAAAGATAATTGTTAGGACCAGATTTTTTTAATCAAAATGATTAAACACGATCCATTTTTTTAGTTAATCAGATCATCTTGTTAGCTATAGAGAGAGGTGCTTGAGAACAATCTAAAATGGCTTCTTCTTTTTTTCTTGATATATTTAATACATCTTTACTATATTCCTAGATTTCACATGCAATCAGCCAACATGTTCGTTTAGAGTTCGATATTGTGAAGGGATCAGACATTGAATTAGCAATTGGAGGAATTCGTAGAATATCAGTAGTTCATTTAAAGCCAGAACGTACTGTTACAGAGTAAATTAAGAAGGCTTTACTCTGTAACATTTGGTGCCCCCTGGCAGAAAGCTAAGTTAAATCACAAAAAAAAAAAAAAAAAAAAAGACTCAAGTTAGGTTAT